GCTCTCTTTTCACAACATGAAGGTTATAATCCAACCAACAGACGAGACTGCAAACGAATTCTGCTTCTTAGGGGAGAAATCCAAGATTAAGAGGCGCATTTTGGCAATCATGAGTTATACATGCGTAGAAGGAAGTCTGACTCTATCTATCGAAGTGCAGTAGATAAAGATACAGGCGAAAACGGGACGTGAGTTGGAGGCGGCGCATTTACCTTGATGACGGAGGATTCCTGAACCCTTCACAACGAAAGGGTTAAGACTGACGTCTGCATTTGGTTTCACCTTATTCCCGTGTTCCACAAACAAGCTATTAACAAGTGAAGCGACACCGCCGTTAAATATCTGGAAAAGTTTCGTGTGGGAATTTTCCATACAGAACCCGTGTTTAGATGTCAGAAATGACACAACGAATCTCCTCGCATACGGGACAGTGGTCCGTCCCCTTATCCCTGTAACATGTCTGTTGTAGACTAGAGTTCCACCGTGCATTTCTGGAAGCGATTGAGAGTCGACAGATGCAGGTCCCCGAATCTGGTTGTCTGACCGAACGAAACTCCAGACCCAGTTGAAGCTGCCGAGAAGATCAGGTACGGTTCCTCGCTCTCGCGCTGTCTGCGACTGGCGCGGTTGGCTCGTGGATGCTTTCTTGTAGTACCGAATATGTTGTGATGGCTGGAGCATGAGGTGTATTAAAGGGGAGTGCCGAGGACGTCGCTCAAAAGAAGAGAGGGACAGTGTAATGCTTTGTTTATGCGACTATCTGACGTTTAGCGGTCACTTTAGGACTTGTCTGGGCCCTGTACATGTGGGCTGGCCTTCGGACCACGCTCAGGCTCCATTTCCCCTATCACTTTCGGAATACATGTATTCGACAGCACTTATGCCTTCTACTATCCCATTGGAAGCTTCGGGACACTACAACTGTTGCCTAGTGAGAGGTGTTAAGATGCTACAAGATTGTTTTTCGGTCGAACTTTGTTGCCCTGGCTTAAAAGTGGGATAAATGTGTACCTATCAGGGGTTAATAGAAGCCGTCATCATGGGTACTTTTCAAACCATAAAGTAAATATACGCAATGCAAGTGGTTACTTGGATATGTCAGCAAGTATCCTTTAGAGTACAATTCTATGCATTCTTAAACACACCATCTTGGATGCGCACTTTTCCTTTTAGGCGCTGACTACTTGATAGCATAAGTCAATTTTGAAGTTATGAGCATAGTTAAAGATAATAGCCTGCTGTACCGTCTTGACGCAAGTGAGCATTAAGTGTTTAAACCTGCTAATAGGGCTTCGTTGCGACGTCGAGTAACTCCCGTTATTTTAGTTACGTTGCGTTCATGACGGGTAATTTTCGTTGAATTAGAGCTGCTTTGCAACTATGCGGTTTTTTATGGCGTTATTGTAAAAAGCTGGTACTTTCACAACGTTAAGGTAAGGCTTAGGAACAGTATGATGCACATTACCGAACTTTAGGATTCGTCAATGAGTAACAATCTACATGAATTTCAGAACTACGACAGTAGCTTTTATGGGGATGCTATTGAAGAACTTAGCGCAGAGAAGTTAAAAGGGTACACTGTTAGTGATCTAACCCTTAGGGCGCTAACATTATGTCGATTGTAATTTTCCTCTTCCTTTTAGCACTAGTTTTGGATTTCAAAGCATTTTCTACTGATAATTATATTGATTTTTAGCATTTTTAGACATAGTAAAGCGCGAAACGTGTGACAACTGTGCAGACAAATATTTTGAATTATTTTATATGCAGTTCAAATGTTTCCCTGTTAGTGTATACAACTGTATTACAAATCTGTTGGCTTTTAACAACGCAACTAAATTGCAGTTTTTATTAAATTATTATTTTTAAAAAACCTGTATGAGCACATTTTGTTATTTTAATTTTATATATTAAAATCCTACGACTCTGAACCCTTTCTCCAGCAAGCGCCCTTCCTCATACATTGAATGTGTCAAGACGGAACAAGGGGATCATCAAATATCAATCGTCGACGATGCTTTGACGGAAAAACGTCTAGACGAGTCAATAACATTATCCAATAATCTGCAATCTTTCTCATCCTCTAATCTCTCTGACATCAATTCTACAGTTGTGGAGGGGGAAGATGAACTGACGGTTGTTGCCTCGATAGCGTCGAGGAGTGAAGAATGTAAGACTTATTAGTCCCTATAACCTTGATACCCTAAGATTCATATTGTCACGTCGACCACGTATTTTTACCATCTGGTAAATAATGCATATTCAGCTTATTTAGGACTCTGACAGAACACCATTTTCTCGTTAGATACCCTTTTGGATGTTTTCGTTAATTCAGATAATTTTTCGATATCTTACGTATAATTTTGTTATGATAACTTTCAGCAACGTACTATGATTATGTAATTTATAAAAGCCTTCTCCTTGTTTAATATGAGGTAATTTGTAAAACGGATTCCTTTATTCGATTACAAGGTATACTCGAATCAGAATGGCCTATGAAACTTTAGCTGCTTTTGACTTTCAAGTGCCATGTTTTAAAAAATATTTAAGATTGATATGCTTTTTCTCCGTCCAATTCCCTCGTGTCTGTAGTATCGAGAGCCTGTTCGGAAGAGTCAATACTATCAAAGTCTAATCAAAAAGAGCCTTGTTTGCAAAAAAAGGAATCGCCCTCTGTGAAATCCACTTTCTCAGTCCTCACTGGATCGAACTCCCACGTGCGAAGTACCTCTCGGTGCAAGGGGACCAGCGACGCAAGCATCTCGATAAGCGCAGCAAGGAATCGCTGCTCGAGTGCCTCCTCTGCGCCCTTAAAATTCCTTCATCCCTCATCCTCTTTCTCAGGCAGTCACCCATGCTCCAGCAATAGAACTAGCAATGATGAGGAAACTGAGCTTGGTGTGACGGAACTGGTAGAAGCACTTCAACATTTGTCGCGGGACGCACGTTTTCGCAGTATTCGACCACTCTGGCGCGATCCCAACTCGCGGCTTCTACCCAGCGACGAGACAGCTTCAGTCGAAGCAATGCTACGGGAGTATAACAACCTCCTCCTTACCGCTGCTACTACCCCTAACGTTTCTTCTTCACTAAACTCTCAGCTGGCCGTTCGTCGGCCCTATCACTCCACTCTCAACCGGTGGCGACAACAGGAACGCATCCAAGTAGAAAACTTTGTGCGTTCTTCTACATTATTATTAAAGAACTTGATGAAAACTGTTGATTTACTTAAAGTTGAATAGATCGGACGGTTATTTAGCACTTGAGATGAGTAGAACTCCTATATTTTGCCACTAACTGCCACATTAAAATTCGTTCAATGTAAGGATTTTGCGCTTGGGTGTTACAGCCTTTGCAAAATTTTTTGAGATATGTCCATAAGGACTTTAACATTTAAGAGGAACTCACACGTATCGGTGCGAATAATAGGATCTAGTGGGTCTAAAATTCTATGTTATTTGACAATGTTTTGCGTTGATAGCGCTAAAATTGCAATCGATTTCAATTGCTCCCTTTCTAATGTGCAGCAGACTAGCTAAAATCTAAGGATGACATATCTCTTATCCAATCATAGATTCTAGCAAATCGTCTGCGCAACATTCGGCCTAGCCCAGAAACTTCGAGGGAGGCGCTTTTGAAGCATTACAGGGAATATTTCATCACACCCGTCACTGCTCAGTGTCTTACCAAAATGCCAACCCTAGACTCCGACTCTTCGTTGCCAAGGTGTCGTCCTCGCTGCTCTTCGGCCCGCTCCACTCAGATAGGTGCTTCGAGGCCACTAAAGTCCTTTAACAGCAGCATTTCCTCACGGGCTACTCCGGCACCTCCTCGAGCCTCTGCCTGTGGCTGCACCTCCACCTCTCGAGGCTCTATTGTGGAGACTCCACGATCTCGTGAGGTTCTCAAAAGCCTAAACTCCGTGCGTAGGGCACTCCACGAGCAGCGTGTCAAAGGCAAACTCTAGGACAAATCGGCCACATATTATTGTTTTCTGTTTGCTCGCTCCCGCTCACTGAGCTTGCTCACACAAACACATGCAAACATGATTTTTTGTGCATTGCAATTGCATCGGAATCTGTGGGCTTGAGAGAAAGCGGCGTTGATAAATGCGACGCATTCAAAGCTGTGGCCTCTTCATGCCTTTGGGGATAGAAGGAAATTGTTACCAATGGATTTGTTAGTACAAGAGGATTACAGCACAGCAGATAACTTCAGATAAGTGAAGTTTGCCACTAATCTTTGCAAGAAAACAAAGGTGGGACTTGTCAGGTCTATGGTGGCGTTGCTCTCCCCAGACGTGCCTGCGGCGTTGGTTCAAGTATTAGCTTCCCTGAAATTTTGTTTCCCAATTCGACAAAAAGTGAAATTGCAAGAATGTTCCAAAAGTCTGGCAGAAGCTACAGCAAGCAAATTATTTTTCAGTCAGCATTGCAATAGGTGATGAGAACACTACACTTAGTTTCCTAACCCTCCACATTCCGTACCTGGACATAACATGCTTGTGGCATGCGTACTTCGTCTGATGGTGTTGAGTTGATCAGGTTAAGGTGGAACACTCGAGGGTTGTTGATGTCACAATGGAACTCCTAGTACCATGTCCGAATGTAGTTGAGGTGGTCGCTTGTCGCAAAAGTTATGGCATTTCATACTATGAGATAAATTCATCTCAGCAAATTAAACAAGAAGCCTTTTGAACATTTGCTGGGTGATGTTTATTAGCGAAATAAATTCGATTATTTCTGCACAGACAAACCCCTTATGCATAAAAGGAGAATGTCCCCCCAGAGACTGGATGTTTCCTGTGTTTACGTGGCACTTGAAGCAAGCATCACCGACCATCACATTCTAAAGGGTGATGTCCACTGCTTGATTCCTATTCGTTGCTAGGCCATTATAATTGTCTTGTTAATTAAAATGGCAAGACCAGAGAAAGGAGGCTGGTTGCCTCGGTGTATATTGGTAACCTTGACGACAACGCGTAACCTAAGTTACTTAAAGAAAAGAGATTGTTTATAGCATGTTTACCAGCCTTCTCCTTATCGCTCACCCAGGCATATGTTTTAACAATAGGTTGGTAATTTGATAGGAACGAAACCCCTACAATTTGTTTGAGACTCTGGGTCTAGAAATTGGCAGCAAAGTGCCGCTGAAGTGACAGCCGAGAGCATTGCCAGCCCTTCCAAACGGGTTACAGTGGCGAATCCATTAAATGATTGGTTGACACTCCCTCGGGGTTGCTCATGGGAGTCACATCTCTAGGGCTCACCAGTTTTCTTATCAATTAGGTTACTCGTCACACCCCTGCCCCTCAGTGAGTGTTTTAAATTTCTTTGAAGGCAGTGCTACTTAAATGGTAGCCAGTAAGGCTAGTGGTAAAATAAACTCAACGCCGTAATTAATTTTGAACCAAATTCAATTTACGGTGCTCGCAAATCTGCTTATTTCTAAAAGAAGTATTTTATGGTGGTCTGCACTTCCATGCTGAGCACTTAGAGACCAAAAAGCACAACCTCACTTGCTTTTCACTCACCGACGAAATGGAAGGGTCCAGACTAGGTCTGCTACTTCTTCTGTCAAATCAAGTAATAAACGTCACAATGGGGCTGATTACCTACCAAAAAGCAGATTCAGTGATGCAGTGTACGCTATGGAGGTGTTTTGCATGACGTCTGTTGGTGGTACAGTTGGTACAGTTGGTGGCCTAGTTGCCGCTCACCCTCAGTAGCTCTCTGCGCCTCCTTCTACGTAGTGGTAATGATGGAAGTGACAGTCGATCTGCCAGTCAAGGAGATTGATTTTGAGCTCGGCGGTGTCGACTCTCCTCTATGTCACCTCATTTTGCTCGCCTTCAAGAATTTTATGAGGAACACTTGAGTTGCTGCATGGGGGATTGACAACTCTTGCGTTTCTCTCATCGCCACTGCATATCTACCCTTCCCAACTGCACTTTGTCGATTCAGAAGGTGGATGGTGCGAGGCACGTGCAACTCGATGATGTAATTACGCTTAAAAGTGCTGTGCGTCACCAGCAGAATCCATAATGCGACATTTATGGCCAAAAGTGAGTCATTTTATAGCCACGAATGTCGTGTCACTCAGCCTTCTCCTACACATGGCTGTTGTATTTGCTACTTATTTGACGAAATTGCCTAGTCCCAATCTTTTCAATTGAGAAGATAGAGAAAAGTCAGCACAAACACACCGATTATGTGGGTAAAGTTGACTTAGAAGGGAGAAGGAAAGTGATTGCGAAGCTGTTAAGCCGGTTTATGCTGAAATACTAAGTCAAAATGTTATGCATCCCATTCTACGCTCAAAGAGCAATAAAAGTGCTGAAGACTGTAAATACATCCTTCACTGCAAGTAATCAGTCGAATGGCATCACATTTAATTAGCGATTCCCTGGGGAGGGCCAACTACGAAGTTAGGACCATTCCTGTGGTAGATGGTAAGTTCAGTTAAGAGGAAAGGAAGCACGGGATCTTAGTACTCAACTGATGCAGACAGTGTGCTTTGAGAGTCCATCATTTGTGCCACAAAGAGGCATCACAACATGGCTCTTTACTTCAACTTTTGCACACCTTTGACCTACTTTAGCAATCGGCAATTGGTGCATTACAGAAGAAAGATTTCTGTGTAACCAACTCATGACATAGAAAGGTGAAAGTGTTTAGCCTGGTGTTGGGTTGTTAGTTCCAGTTGATACACCTCTGCTCAACTGCATTATTTTCGATCCTTCTACTCCAAGGCAATTGACTTCTTGAAAACCAAACCATTCTCAAATTAATTGGGTAATGTTATGCAAAAGTTTTTTTGGAATAACATCATCAGTGCTTTAGTTGTCAAGGCGTTGTGACGGTGTCTCAGTATTTCCATAGCTTCGCCTTCATTCCTTCAGCTGATGAGAGACGAGCACTCCATCCTTGCCCTCATACAAAGTTTAGAATTGAGAATTGGAGTAATAGTGGCTAAAACAAAAAAGGCTGCAAAAATTTTATGGTTCCTGTAGAAGCACCCAAACAAAATCCCTCAAAAGACAGGCCAAACAAAAGGGTTTAACCACAAAACTCTCATCTATGGGCATGTGAGTGAATTGTTGAGCTGCAGTCGTCTGGCAGGCTGTTTCCAGCGAACCCTGGTGCCTTCAAGTGTGCGCGTTTGGTATGGCGGGTGGACGGCACGCCAACGCCAACGGCGCCTCCGCTGATTTTGAACGCCATGGACATGTTTCCAAAAGAGGGAAGAGATGCTTTCCACAGGAGAAAAGCAAGCCTCATATTGAAGCTGAAGGGGATTACATCAAGATTTTAAGCTCAAGAAGCAATGATGATTTCTAGTTGGAGATTTATCGTTTTATCACTCGATTTGTGGGGGACGGTAAAATGGATTGACATTATTTTATCCCGATGGTCTTGTCAATTACCGTATAATTGTAGATCAGGGCGACGGAATTGCATATGAGGTAAATTTTTTACTAACTAATGCACAAATGATGTGCAATTTTTGCATAAAAAGCGCGTCAACCATTTGTTCACCTCTCTACACCTCCGTCTACTGACTGCGAAAGTTAAATGTCAGCGGGAGCGGTACATCGCCGCACGTCGCATTCACTCAACTCCCGTACGCACTTGTGTAGGGTGAATTTCGTTTAGAGATTTATGTGACACAGCTTTTGCCAGTCTAAAGCTAGACGATGCAAAATTCTTTACAGCCAACTTTCTGCAGAGCTGTGCGACACGATAAGGCGAATCGAAGAGATTCGTTTTGTCACCTATACCTGAGAGAAGAATGGATAACTTAATAGGAACTTGTCGAAATTTTAAGGTCACTGCAATAAACGGGCAATCTTTAACACTGCCGTATAAAGCAATTTGACTAGCGAGCAGAAAGAGGCGGTCGACTTTAGGTTAGTCTTGTGACAACAACATGAACACCGAAGTCAAGTTAAGTTTATAAATTGCACAAAGGCAATAAGTTCCGCTTCCGCCGGCTTCCACTTGTTTTGATAAAGACTCAAAAGCATTTCTCAGTCTAATTCAGTTTAAAACCTAAATCCGGGTGTATAATAGTAAAAACTGCATGCTGTGACTCATTAACAGCGTCAGCGAGATCAAAACTTGTGCCTTCCAATGTTGTTGCTGTTTTTGGGAGCCACTAGATGTTGGGTATGCTTTGAGTACACTCAGAAAAGTGATTGGAGGGATCGTTTAACAAGCATGAATATGCGCCTTCCCCTTCCCAAGTCAGAAGCAAGTCTCCCCAGCGTAAATCCCTTTCCTAAGGTGCTCATGCTGGCAAGGGCGATCCGAAGTAAGAGTTGAATCTGAAAGTCACGAAGAGTGGTGTAATAGCACATTGCCAAACGAAGACCACTTCGGTCCCACTAAAAGACTTCCACCCACTCTCTTCACAGGCTTCAACTTATTGACATAAAACTTAATGAACCCAATCGGAGGCTCCAAATTTTAAACTCAAAACTGAGAGGAAGGTGTTTATTGTGGGTGTAGTTCAACACATTCATTAGGTTCCGGTGCTATCTGTGACTCAGTGAATCTAGTTAGCAGTTAAGAGCGCAAATCTTCACATCTGAGGCGACTGCTCAAATGCCTTAGCGCGGTGTGAGTGCGTGTGTGTGTGTGTGTGTGTGGTGTGTCAGCAGTTCAGTGGGTACCCACACATCAGGCATTACTCCTCTCGCTGGGCTCATAACTACACACACGCTTACCCTGACACTACGAAACCTCTATTTTCAGCATCATGCTCAACACTCAACGCTCAAACTCAACAACGTCAGGGAAGTACACATTTGAGGAGCAGCCCCTCTCATCACATTCACCCGCCACACGGCAAGACCGCCGACTTGTGACCTACACGTGTGAAAAAAATCAGTTTCTGGAAGATGGTAAGCCCGTAAAAGCCACTATCCACTGCTCTGAGATGACTCCTGAAATGGAGTTCTGGGCCGTGGACTGCGCTGCCATCGCTCTTGTCAATCACGCCTCTATCAAACAGGCCGCAGCTTACATCAAGAAGGAATTCGATAAGCGCTTTGGACCTTCTTGGCAATGTGTCGTGGGGAACAGTTTTGGTAGGTGAGTGTATGCTTTCCTCTGCGATTGACATTGAACAACTTTTCCTCAAAAATCGTCTCACCTCCGTAGCTAAAGCGAAATTGCTACGCGTAACTTAAATGTGGCTATTCTCACACAGTGGTGCGGTCTGTGAAACTTGACACTCACGGTTTTTAGTGGTCTTGACATAAAGCGGAAACACGAGACGCATGCAACAGTGTGTAGAGTAGACACAGGCATGGCAATGATGAAGTTGACCCCACCGCCATGATGAATCCGATGAATAGGCCTCCTTATTGGTTTTAACAACAGAAATCAATCTGTATTTCCTTAGTTGGACTGCCATACTTAAAAAATCGGTTTTGTCCTATGAGAAATAGCATCTTCTCGTGTCCAAGTTTGAATTAAGTGATTTGTATCTTAATCGCTAGGAGTAGTGTGGAGCCACCACTCTGGGCTAAGAAGGATCGGCTTTGAAGACACGCTCTTGTTCGTTCAGTTCTGCTTGCGCTACGATATCTCGCATGCAGTTTTGATGAGCACATACTTTGTACTTGAATGCGTTGAAATACGAAGTGATAACTTACGTTAGGGTTGAAATGAAGGCGCAAAAAATTTACTTTGTAACATAAAACTTCATGTCCAGATGACAATGCGTTTAAGCTAAAGATGTGTTGCATGCCAAGCATTGCAGAAAACTGCAGATCATTAGTCATGACAAGGACAAAGGGTGACGCTCAGAGGAGGGGGTGTTATGTGATGCGCTGCACACGGAGTTTGTTAATACCTCTTACATTTGTTGCGCATTCAAATGCGTTGAACAACTTCAAGCATTTTCCTCTCTTCGGCTGTCTTTACGCTATATTACATCGCTTATGAAGGTAAATAAAATAAATTTTTCACTGGACTACCGGCGAAATATAAGACATGACTTAGCTTCTCTCACTTTAACGTTACTATGATGTTACATTTGCAAATGCGTTTTGGATTTTGTCGAAATTAAGTCTAGACCATTCAATCTGAAGCTCGTCTTTGCATTTGCCTCTGGACTGCAAAATGGCACCGTGTCATGATAACAGGCATGGGAATGCCTCTTTACCCATAGAAAGTCATACATCAAGACAACTTAAATGCTAATGTAATTTGGCTCAATCCATCGACATCCTTAAACACTTTCCTTTGTTAATCTGAAATTGAATCTATTATTCTCCATTAAGTTGCTTGGGAGAGCGTACTGGGTGTCCTTCTTATTTTAAAGTTCCTCGTTAAAGGGCACGCACGTGAGGTAAAGGACCATACTGGTACTCAAAAGTATGACAAATGGCAAAATTTGTGGTCTTACAAGTTCCCTTACAAATTTATCCAACATTTAGAATAAAGACAATTAAGAGCTGATTAGCTAGTTGCCTAGTTCATTATCTTCAACTTTAACACTATCTTACGCCTTCTGATCCATGAACAGTGTTGTAAGTCACATGATAAATGAATTAAAGTTGCAAAACTTGAATACTGGATGCATACGCGTGCCAAAGTTGCAGATTAAGCTATGTCATCGCCAACATATTCAAATTGCAAATAATTTTCGGTCCTTGAGGATTCAACTGAATCGAAACCACTCACCAAGCTCTTGTAGCGAGTAATGACATTGGCCATCTATATCTAAAGGTATAACATTGTTTGCCAATTAATTTTACTAATTGTAGAACACACGCGTTTCATCACATAATAACTCATTACCTTGATTGTTTCCGCTTAACAAAGAAATTATACGCAATGAAAATTTGCATACTCAATGCTAGTCAAAATTCAGAAAACTTTATTTTCGGGAAAAAATGACATTTAGAACCTTCATTGCTTGTAGTGCTGCATACCCCTCTTACCTGTATCACCAGAGCTTCCGCTACTGCATCAGCGACCCAATTCCTTAACGAAGTATTCCCCAATATTTCTAACAAACATCATAGAGACAATCAAAGCATTATCAATTCCACAATTATCCACTACTATTTTGCTATCGCAACTACAATTTCGCCTAGAAAATTCACGGAATAATATCGCATAGGTCAAAGAAGTGATATTGGCAGCACCACCTGAGGGAAGTCTTAGTGTGCGCACCTACATGAAAACTTGTTGATTGTAATCACCGACGAACAATTTAAACAATAATTGCATGATTCTCCAACAGTCCAAATGCCTAGTAAGTGTAATTCGAATCATTTTAGGTCGATAAAGTCTGTCTTTATTTCTATTCTAAAGCATTCAGCTTATGAACAAATTTAATGCAAAAGGTTAAATTCTGGGAATGCACCAGCTCGATTCTCTTCTCTACCAGCAAGATTGCATAACTCCCAAATTCCGACAGCTCGAAGAAAAATACATTAGTAGATTTAAAATTATTGGCATGTACTGCAGAACCGCCTGGGACAGCGCGGTGAACCCACTGTGGATAAGACACAATTTTTATTGTATTAGCCATAGCCGTCATGACCGGGATAATCCGATGATAGAGGCGGTGACCTCAAATACCCTATCCTAGCTCCTACCTTCTGTGTGATCCATGTTCCACAAGCATTGAGTGCAGACCTCTTCTTTCGCCTGCTCTTTTCTGTGGCAAGATCGAATACAAAGATCCCAATTGCTTTACGACATTTTATTATGTATGAACAGTTAAAGGTCCGTTTCAAGTGCAGTAAGGTCAAATGATTAATTATCTTAGGTTTCTGGTGCAAATTTATCATTTTTTAATCGATAATAACAGATTTCATATCTATTGGGACTACGCAATGTCAAAATCCCATGGTTTGATCTACTGTTTTCATAAAGATGGAATTTTAACCATACGCATGATGCATGCTTCGCTATTTCAGAACCGGTTGTACGCGCATACAAGAAAGCCACTTTGTGCCTAACTAAGAGTGCAAAGAACCGTATGTTTATGACTACGAAGACAACCTTTAAAATGCAAAAGCAAATAATATGTAACTTTTTTAGTATGGTTGAATGATCGCGGATTAAGTAGAAAGTTGTTCTAATGTTCTACCCACCCTCCAGGGTGGAATGTTTACCTGGATCGCAGGATGAGGTAATTCCGGTAGTATTGTGAAGTGAAACGAAGTAATACCGTCATCACTCAACGTACACGGCAAACTGGCCGTTGGCGCATTGCGTTTAACTATCCAACCCTTAGTGCGCACTGCGCCAATCAAGTGTTGAAGGCTAGCTTTTTCGCCCGCAGACATCGCCAATGGTCTGAATGAGTCATCTTCGCGTTGTAGCCGCGCTTCCTCCGCTCATCTTACCACGCGACACTTCGCCACGTGAAATCCCTTGCATTTGACAATGCATTGATCAACAAGCGCCTCCAACACTGTAGCCGCGACACGATGTTCGGATGTGACAATCCTCGTAGGAGAAGGGAGAGTTACTTTGTTGATTACCTGCATGAACCTCGGAGACATAGGAGCCCTCATTCCATCAGAAATCTATTGTTTCCAGGCTGTCTAATCACCACCGTGTGAACAATGGCTTCACACATAATGGGACTAAAACCGAAACAAAAAACGCCTATCTAATTGCTGGGAGTAGTCATAGTAAGCAAAGGGTTGTCTATTGTTGCGCTAACTTGGAACAGAACCAAAGCCTCGAAGACGGCAACAACGCATTTAAAGGGCGTAAACTGACAATCTTTCGAGGTGTCATTTTGTTGCCATTAGAAGGGTGTTTATTTTAGCGTTTTGGCACTAAGAAGTGGGTAAGTAAGATTCCGCACTGCCACCAAAGTCATAATTCCTCGACTAGTGCGCCAATACCGTTTGCGTGGTTAGGCCGGATTGGATTTGCTCAGGTTCTGACGGATTAATCTTTAGCTGCTCACTTGTGACATAAGCAATTCAACGACCGCACTCGCAACTGAATTTCATAGCTGAGAAGAGCGGCTCAAGTCATCACTCCCCTTTCTTTGTTTTAGCTACGTGTCTCACTTCGAGGGATCCTTCATTTACTTCATTCTCAAGGATTTCACAGTGCTACTCTTCCAAATATGAAGAGTCAGAGAGACGAATCGCTGAATTATGTTTTCTGTGGGACAATCACTTCGAGTTCTCTGCTCTTTCTCCTCTGCTGTCTTATCACCCTCTATCATCTCTTCTTTGTCGAGTAACCTCGCCTGCCCTTCAGAATTGTCTCTCAACTTCTTGCCTAAAGCTTCAACTCCTTAGTTTCGAAAGAATGCTCTCAATGCACTGGGAGTGGTGGAGACTATTTAGGTAGATGGCAGGACTTCGTCATTGTTGTGGATAGCACTTCTCACTTGTCCTCAGTCAGCGTTGACGTCCTCTGGTCACCCTAATAAGGCAAATACGGGGATTTTGTTGCCTAAAATCCGAGGTTCAGCCGCCAGGGAGTACTGGAAGTGCAGCAGCTCAAGTGTCGGATGACCAGGATCAATCGTTTCGCAGTTAATCAGCAAAGAATTATAGAACTTTAGCAGCTCTGTTTTCCCATGCCTAGAGCATGGGACTCGGTGAGCATATGGGGGAAAGGATCATATTCGGATCGTATTAGTAGGATCCCTACCAGCTGTGCAAACCCATGCACAAATGTTCAGATGTGTAGTGTTGGAAATGACCATAAACCCACACTGGTCCAAAGGTTAGTGGTTTTTTAAGCCCAGGCAGTTGGAAGTTCTAGCTGGGTTTTGTGAGAAGGACGTTAGATCATGGAGGTCAGCAGAATAGCAAAGCCTTCAATTCGCCCAACTAAAAGCCCTGTCCACGTTGACAAGTAAAAATGAATAAACCATCAAATTTGGTGCAGTGCACCTTCCTTGTCATGCCTTTTGAAGGCGATGGTCTTGTACCCAACGCACCAGATCAGCCACACTTTATCCAATTCCAAATGACCTCAAAACCTCCTTAAGTCATAGTAATCACACCTCCCGAATGTGTTTTTGGATCTCGCGGGAATTGTCCTACGAGGGCGAGGCAAGCGACCGCTACCTCTCAGGTAAGGCGGGTCATGTGACAGCAAATTGAGAACACACGGACGACACAGGAATTACGCAGCCTGGTTTGGGCGTGTGGTGTGTGCGCATGTACGCCTGGCCAAAGCGTAGTTAGCGCACGTTATGTACACGCCCCAATCAGAAGCTTAGACGCGCAGTCGAATCGACCAATACATGGTGGGGCGGACACACCGTAGGGTGTGTACAGACACACAAACGCACGTCCATGCAAACACACGTAAGGCGCATGCACATCATTTGGCTTTTTGTCTTGGTCGCCGTCGTTGCTGTCGCAGGTGCGGTTAGTTTGTACTCGGTGGCGAAGGAATCATGACTGAACGCAAGGCCGTCATCAAGAATGCCGACATGAGCGAGGAGATGCAGCAGGATGCTGTTGCTGTGGCTGGCCAGGCTCTGGAGAAGTTCAATATCGAGAAGGATATTGCCGCCTACATCAAAAAGGAGTTTGACAAGAAACACTCCCCCACTTGGCATTGCATTGTGGGACGGAACTTTGGGAGGTAAAACGAATCTCCAATCCTCTGAATTCATTGTAGGATTAGCTAAATGGTGTAGAATGCTAAATTCGCCTCCATTCACTCCATTGCTACCCGTGAGGCTATCTCACTCTAGTCTCATTCTGTCCATTAGCACTCCCTTTATTCTCACCTCTAATCTAGCCATTTCTCTTAGCCTTTTATAAGGACTATTTCATAGTTACTTCAAGTGCCGCTTCAGGAGTTCTAGCATAACGCTATTTGTAAACTGCAGACGACCCGTTCCTCCCTGATTGATATCATTTGTCTCCTAGCACGCCTACACCATCTTTGCTTTGATTTGGCGTAATGTGCACTGATCAAAAGATCGCTCACTGGTATAGTACTAGAACGTCGGAAATCTTATTCAGCTAATGCGATGTAAAACTCCCTTTTAACATTGATTCCATTTGTGACGGTTACAGTTTATTGGCTCCGTTGATGAGTAGTGTGGATCGTGACGCCTTGCGCCATACATTTTAGAACCTATCTTGTCTGCATGTGGTCTTGGGTTCTGGAGTTTTGTGCTTGACTGAGTGGTGGTACTCAAGTCGTGTGCTCATTCTGTTGCGGTACTCGGCTCTTCATATGAATGCTGGGCAATGGATTATCAAACTTGACAAACGCTACGCAAATGTGGGTGCTGAACCTCTCGTTAACAAATTTGGCTCTCAAAACGCAGGTGTCGAAGTGTTTAATCTGCTCTGATCGTCCAGGTGCAGCCAAAGTCTGTTTTAGGCTAAAGTACCTCGCTGCACTTAGAGTGTGTCGCATTTGGTTCGGTGTCGTGCGTGTGTGCGGATGGTAGTCTGCTCCAGACCGTTTCTCATGTATTACTGTGGTGAACTTTGTCGTGCACTGCTCTGCGTCATTGGTCTCATCCATTGGATATGAATTGTCTGGGTTTTATGCAACGTTAACGTTAGTTCGATCAACATCCATTTTTTTCCACTCTTCTGAGTGTTACGCTTTACGCCGTCCTCTTTTGCATTTTCGAGGCCTCGGATCGCTGGTGTTTCGAATATATCCTACCAGTGTAAATTTCACCTTAGTTGAAATTTGTAAGAAACCGATGATGATAAGGAAGGTTGGGTAATGCGAAGTCGGACGTCGTCTTTGTTGTTTTCGAGCGCCCACTCGGCCGTCATCTGGTCGTATTTTATGCTAATGGCGTGGGTGGTGTGCATATGCAAACGAGTGTTCGCTGACCACGGTGCAGTTAGCAAATAACTTGCATTTCTCGGGCAAAGTTGTATGGATGCTGCCAATAACACATTTCCCTCTACCCTTGTATAGCTACGTGACTCACGAAACGCAGCACTTCATCTACTTTTATCTGGGGCAAGTGGCAATTCTTCTCTTCAAATCGGGCTAAGTCGAGGCGGCGGAATCAAATGTGCGCACACACTCCTCACCACATCTATTTGTGTACGTGTGAATATGTCTGTTTTCATGAAGGCCAGCAAGAAGGCTTGCTTTCTCTGCTCTATCACTACCAACACGACCCTACTCCCTCCTTTTCTTGTGTGCACATGCACGAATTCGCAATTCCACTTTTTCAAATAGAACTGAATGTGAAAACACGTCTTTGGTGTTGCTTTGTCAGGGGCTAGCGGTCTGTTTAGCTATCGCTCGTCGCGTAGCATTGTTGCTTGAATTAGACCAGGACTTTTTCTCCAGGTAGGCACATGAGGTGGATTGGCGGTGGGTTGGTCAGGGGCCAGGTGGGCTCTGGGCGAATCGTTAGCTGAGTGTGGGCTACTTGAGGTTCGAGGCGGGGTGGGGGGTCTTCTCGTATAGGATGCCTAAGGTGATGAAGGTAACCCAGGAGAGGTTTGTGACCACGCGATTGATTCAGTCTTTAGGTCTTCTGATTGGTGGCGGTTCCTCCGCCATTTGATACGCCCAGAGCCATCGATACATTTGTTCATGGCCTACAGACAATCGACATTGGAAGGTCGAACAAATAATGCTAATAATGGAAGATCTGGAGCATTCTGATAGCGTCCTTAGCTAGTGGAGAGTGATGCCTATTTCATAAACAAATGAACACGGAAACATTCAACATCCTAAACATGCAAAACATGTAAATCGGAGCTACTACTACGACTTCATTTGGGGCGCAGCAGTTTTACTAACGACTGGACTATCGCATGACGCGTCTAGAAGTTGCTAATCCTCAAATTGTGCTGATATTTCTACGTCATTTACTAGCTTTGCATCTTATTGGAATCAATCGAAAACCAAACTCTGCCAGTGTTGGTCGGATTCAACTTGTGGCTGCAGCCGTCCAAGGCCGCTCCTTCTCGATTGGCCAGATTGAGCCTCTGCGTCATGTGATTGGAGGCCTGCGTGGCTTAGCCAGTACTGCCAAGTTCCAATGAAGGCGAAGTGGGCTAATTCTTACCCCTTTTAATGCGATGGCAGCATTAATTGTAGAACCACAATGGAAAGTGGCAATAAGGTAGGTAAGCGATCAACGGGTTTCTAAAATAGATTGCCCCAGAATCCCTTTTATTGCCTTCATTTTTCGTGGTAAAGACTTCGGTCGGTCTTACAGTGACAACTTTAATATCAGTCGCATATGTATCAATTTTGGCAATGCCTAGTTGTTGTGCGTCCCCATATTCATACTTTCTTCCTCTACTAGCGTTATACACGCTCATTTGGCACCATTTCAGATCCTGCATGTAATGTTCTCCCAGTTTTCATAGCTGCTAATTCTCTTCGCTGCTCCTTACGAGGTGCTATGTATTTTAAATATTTTCTTGGTAGGAGAATAATGCCTCTTTGAGTAGCCTTCTCAGCATTTGATGCCTATACCTTCATGTTGGCAGCATAGAAGTCTGCTCACACTACCGATGCTGGCATTCTCCGCACCACTTTGCAGCCTTCTGGAGTTGTTACATTCACGCATTGCAGCATCCTCAGGGGTCGCTTGAGCTCCATGGCGTCATTTGAGAATATGTTGGTTCTTAGTCATGTTAAGGCTGTACCAGAACCTTTTATAAAGGCAGATACATGGTTTTAATATTTCAAATTCTGTCCAAACCAACTAGTTCCAATTCTGAAAGATGCAAAACTGACATACGGTCACTTTTGGTTCTTTCTCTTAACTGCTGCAACAGCCAAGAGGCAACAGCTATGTTTATGGTAATTGTGGTTGGGGAGGAAGGAATCGGACGAGAAAGGAAAATCACAATAAAAATACAGGGAGAAGCGAGAGCACTAATGTTGAAGTCGACAGATAGAGATTAAGGAGAAACGAATTTTGTACAGCCGGCACCGATATCGCAAAGCAGAGGGGAGTGGGCAGCAAATGATTAAGTTAATAAGGAAGAAACAAACAGGATACACGAGCAGGAGAAAGGGTAAACGCAGGCTGCTGATCACTTTATTATCGGTGTTGTACAGGCGGGCCGAGCGCGTTGATGAACAGAGACGAGGGCGCAAAGAGCAAATTACCGCCTGAAGGCGTGGTAGCGAGAGACGTCCGTAGCGTACAGCTGATCAATGCCGATGGGTGCTTCCTCGACAGCGCCGCTGAATACGACTGGACCAGGCTCCACGCTCACTTTAGCTTCGTTCGAGGTTGGCGTGAGCAACCGCACGTCTCGGATTGGCAGCATTGTGGTCATTTGTGTTCGTATCTGGACCACCATCTGGCCCATGTAGTTGCTTGACTGCATCGAGGAAGATAGAGGTCGTTATCACTACTCTCATGGTAAGTGGTTTGCCTAATGTACTTGTTACGTTTGTACCATGTATTGTACACGCCAAAGCAAGAGAGTGCAACCTAAGTGTGTTTGGTCACGCATTGTGACTACCCCAAAACCTTTCTTTCCTAATCTCCCATAAATCCATTTATACACTACGAGAATGTAACCCCGCCTATAGCTTCAAAAGTAATGATATCCTAGATGCAAAGAGAAAAGCCGTCCGTGACCTTCAGCCTACAACAGTTGATTCCCACCAGTTTTGTCAGCAAAATATATTACCCTGAGGCAAGACGGAGCAGGAGGAAGACATTGGGAAACATGCTGCATGGTGCCTTTCCCCTTAATTATGCATAATAGCCATAATCCAGAAGGTACGGTGTGGAAAATGATAAGGAACTGCTGTTGGTAGAATTGGTCCACCTTTGAAGTACATGAGCAGCTTCTGTTTGCTAGTTCTACAACCTATCAGAAGGCTTACCGAACAAGAGTTCTCGAGAATGTCGATAACCACGAGAGCAGAATCGGTGGCGTTGATACTGAGGGCCTGGTTACCGTCCCCGAGGAAAATGACCTTGTCCTTAGGATCATAATAGCGACATCCAATTACCAGCTTCTGTGAAGCTGTTTCACTCGACAGCTGCAGGTGTGCCAACTGATCTTTGGTGATTTGATAGGGCAATTCCTAAAAGAAAGATGAGACAATCATCTGATAAAAATTGCTTCATTACAGGTCGAATGTTTATGATGGTTAAATTGTCCAATTGAACCGCTGTGAAAATTTCTCATAAATGTATTTGACTTTGGAACTAGAACATTCTCGATGAGTCTTATTCGTGTGAACTCAAATCAGTTCTTTGATGCGAGAGTAGACGCAGGAAAATTAAGATGTCACATTCGTGTAGCTTTGGTGTTGAAAGTGTCTGTTATTAGATTTTAAGAGCAATACTTCCTGCAAAGATCGTAGAAAGCAAAAAAATCACCAATTTGGCTCTATAGTTGTTCATTCAATGAGGCCTCTAATCCAAATGTCCATGTCGCCAAGAGCCGAATTGTCACCTTTCCCAGCGTTCTGTTAGTGTATAACTGCATGCTTCGTATACCCATGGCAAGGCAACCATGAAGTTGTTTTTGCCCAGAGTAAATCGTCCAAAAGCAGCTCAAATTTAGACCTAACTTGAACAACTTGAAACGTCAAAAAGATACTTGCTCATCAAGACTGCGGGTGCTGAAATAGGAGCACAGTGTGGTTCAAATCGAGGCGCTGGTTAACTGCACATTCATAGGTCGACATTCAACTGTGAATGGTTCCATTTTGGCCTACAATGTTGTCAGAAGGACTTCTGAAAGAAGTGATAAAACTGGTATATTGTATCTCCGATGCTCAACGAAGACAACTTGATGCGGAACAAAAAAGCCAGCGAACTGAGCTGGCTTTATGGGTCTGGTGCAGTAGTAAAAGCTGAGCTAGGCTTCTGATAGCACGCAAATGAAATGGCTAGTTAAGGCGCCTAATGAAGAGAATCGTCAATGAGAGTTAACGAGGGAAAGCTTGCTCACCGCTTCTTCGGATTTGAGCGCCTCAGAGGCGTACCAGAAGAAGTCATGGTTGTCACGGGAGTTCAAAATGCCGATTGGTTCAGGATGCTTCAAGAGCGAAGGAATGACCGTAGCCAGTGTGCCCGGTTGACAATGCACGGGGAAGGAGTCGCGCCAATGGCCGCCATTGGGATCAATGTAAAATTCACCTTTTTTTCGAGCAAAAATAGTTAAGCAACATCTTAAGCTTAGGCAATTCTTGTGAGTGGTAATATAATAGGCACAAAATTTTGTTCTAATAGTCTATTTGAAGGTATTGAAACTGGAGTCTTAAGCGGGCAACGAAAGTGCTGTTCTCCTTAGGGCCATTGTGTCGCAGATCTATGAATCGGCTGAAACTGGTGACACAAATCATTTTTACGTCATCACTGGTGTGTGCTGTTGGTATGGATGGATAGAGTTGC